AAAAATGGCATTGGCAAGTGACTCATGATCAGCTCCTTACAGGGTTACCTGCCCCTGAGGTGTGTATACAAGGTATCTATTCGGAGTTTCCCCCAACATATTCAATCACTTCAGTCCAAACCCTTCGCTGTTCCCCACTGCTTCCCAGAGCATCCGCTCCAATTTCTCCCGAGTGGGATATCGGTACAGTCCTAGCGTGTTAAAACACGTTCGTGCGATCGGATACCGCGACGCATCGTCTCCGAGGCATGCCAGCCGGATCGTAAGACTTGTCGCCCCCATGGCCGGTATTCGGTCACTGCCTGTGATGAACGAAAGAATCTTCCTCTGCGCCTGGGGGTCGGTATTCTCAAAAAATTCCCAGAACCACCGCACAACCGGAATGTTCTCCGGCCGGGGATGAGACCAATTGTCGTATGTCGCAACCGCTCGAAGCGAGGCAACGTCCAGTGCTTCGTCCGAGCCGCGAACAAGTAACTCGATCTCCTCGGGTCGGAACAGCGAGAGCGCGTTGCCGCCACACACGGTAAAGAATCCTCTTTTGAAGGGCTCAAATTGTCGAGTGACTGCTGTGTCTAGCATGTAGTGAACATACAAATCCACAAACTCTCGTCGATTCGCATTGGTGACCGGCCTCGTTTCGCCTCCAGGGCAGAGAGGCACTGCAACAGCCTCGCCATAGCGATCGACGTGGGCCACAAAGTCATAACAGAATGTATCGGAAACATCTCCATCAAACTCCAAAAGAGCCCGAAGGCCTTTGGCGAGTGCAGGACGGTATTCTGCCAGGTCGTCCAAAGTACACCTGTAGTTCGACCGGGCACTCGATGGTTGCGGCCCGCTGGTCTGCGGAGCAGCAGCCAACAGCTTTTTGAAGGCAAACGGCGGAAGAGCAATGTCTAGGATCGTTGAATTGTAGATAGCCAGTCCAAGAAGCACGCCGACCAAGAAAAACTGTTCAGATGATTCGAAGCAATAAGGATTAAAATAGCAGAATTGGGAGTCCTCGTCGTATAGAAAGAGTCCTGTATCAATCAGCTTGAGCTCTCTTTCGTTTTGGTATGCAACGCCGTCGACATACCATGATGAGGGTCAAAAATTTCCCGAACAAGCAGAAGAAACCATTCTTTGCGAAGTCCTCCCGCATCAACACCCTCTTCGCCGACGAACTCAATGCGTAGGCCCTTTTTTATCTCTTCTTGGTTAGAACCCACCACTTCACTGACACTTCGTAGACTGTCGTCAACCAGACAATCTCGCCGGACCTTCAATACAAGATACTGACTTATCGCCTTTCGACTCAGTATACTATTGAAGAATGCCTCCCGAGCTTTGACTTCCATCTGGCGACGAGCGTCATGTTCCATTATATGTATTTTCGCCCAAATACTGAGGAAATAAGGGTATTGACAAAACGAGAACTTGGCCATTTTTGACTCCCAGGCTTCGAAATCCGCGACGAGGTCAGAATAATCCAGTAGTGTATTATAGAAGGCGCTGATTGGGATCTTGTGCCCTCGGCGAGGCCCCGCCGCTCTATTTGTCGAGGAGCTTGCTTCCTGGCCAAATGCTGCATCTGGCTTCCGAGCAACACCCGTATCGTTTGCTGTAAATAGCAGGGACATCACCCTTGCTGCCGCCCGGATCTGCCAATCATCACCGTACACCACGGGCTTATTCCGCTTGTCTTTTGCTGGCTTGCTGGGACTTCTACCATTAATGGCAGCGTGCAGTTCCGCAGGAGTATTCCCAGCTGCACTACTGAAACTGGGTACCAGACTGTTATCATTTTCGATAGCCTCGCTGCGTTTCCGTCCTTGCTGCCGACTAAGACGGTAAGTAACGAAGCTGCCCACCAGGTCCACTAATTTCTCAAACTGTCCAGTAGGAAGGCGTGAAAACCAGGAGACGAGATAGTGATGGCAATCATTGGGCAAGTGTGCCATTATGCCCAGTATGCGCTTGACGATGCCAAAATGATGCCCTGGAGGTCCACTGCGAGGCGCAGAAAGTCCCAATTGTTCTTTGCGAGAAGGTCTAGCATCACGGAGCGGTATCCTCTCACCACTTTCCTTTGGATGGGACGGCCGCCTGCCACCTTGGGATTGGGTGAGATTGACAGGCCGCAAGGAAGAGCTTGATGGGTATATCAACGGATTTGCGAGGAGTATGAGAAGGAACCGTATCTCTTCTGGTTTGTGCAGTGGTCGTCGTGGCCGCTTGACCAGATTTTCCGTAGCTTTGAGAAAGGTTCTGTGAAGATGTAGACGTGACTCTGTAATATCTCTCTCGATCGCACACATGTCCACAGAGCCCCATAACTTGCTCCGCCCGTGACCTTCTTGACCGCGCTCATCAACAGGCCTCATGGCTGTCCAGCGCTCGACCCATGACGAACCAGCCGTCATGATCAGCTGATGCCACTCTGCCAATTGAGACCAATTGATCCGCGGACTTCTAGAGGTAACTGCTTTCGAAGGATTTGAAGATTTCCCTTTCGAATGTGAATGGCCAAGGCCATAGTTTGGGTCCCCGTCATTCATCCACCAAGAAGAATTTTCGGCTAGGTCTCCAATCAGAAGGGTCTTTGCATCGATCTCAAATGCTGGATGCGCATGAGAGAGCGCATCATTGCTCTCCACCTTCGGTTTTGGAGGGCTATTATCGGGACTGGCGTTCGCAGCCAGTAAGGGAGGTTGTGCTGTACTAAAGGACGCATTCAAACTGTCACATCCTTTAAATGAAGCTAGTATGTACTCTTCTAGGGGCTTGAAGATGTAAGGGTGGCTAGGTTGATCCTTGATGTCCCGCTCGGACGACCTTCCTGCTTCGCGGGGCAAGCGTTCGCCTTTGGGCGGAATCTGCACGTCTGAATTGTTGCGACTACGTAGCCGAGGATCCCTAACGTCCGCATGTGGCGCCAAGGAACTCGCCGTAGGCTTCAAAGAATTCGAGGCTCCGCTGAACCAGTCTGGTTTCCCGGGTTTACTGGACGCAGACGAACTGCGCGCCCGAGCATCCACGCGCGGCTCGGACAGTAAACCCGACCCATGGTCATATGTATGCGCACGATTTTCATCCTGCCCTATAGCCGAGGGTTTTCCAGACCGATTTCCCGATGTGAAGCCTTGAGGCACAGGCGCGTCTAAAAGCCGTCGCAGATAGGATGAAACGCAATTATCAATTATGGACCGTGTCCGTTCCAGGGAGAGAGGAACCGCTAGTTCTGTAAGTTAGCCAGATCAACAATAAGACCTCCTAGGTAAATTCGGCGCACCTTTTCTCGGTATGGACAGACCAGGCTTCCCATCCTTCCCCGAGCTCCCTTGACCCCCCAGATCCTTCGAAGTGTACGGCTCCAGATCATTTACAGTCAAGCACTCTGTGCACCGAAAAACCTTTAACCCCCTCGGCCATCGAACAGTAGAGTTGCACGTCATGCATTTCCCTGTTGAGATCGCCTCACCACCCGGCAACGGGCGTGAGGAGGCTTTCCTGGGGCTACTAGAAAGCACATCGGCAAGATGAGTCACGTCATCGTCGGAGTCGGAGTCTAAGAAACCCGGGTTCGGGTTGCGTCTCTTGCCGCCAAAGGCGGACGGAAACGGGTGACTGATCGAACGAGAATGACCTCGATGGTGGGGAGGCGAGGTCGCCGGATTGCCGGTCATTGTCGGCAAGCTGGGGACATCGTGCTGAACGTGGCGTGGTGCACTCCTCTCCGTTGAAGAAAGAAGGGCGGCGTTTGGATAGACGGCCGAGGAGTTCAGAGTCGGAGGATGAGGCTGGTTATACGCGGACCGCGACGGCATATGGGCGCATTAGCTTGTGTATATCTCGTGGCTGTCTGAGCTGGAACAACTCCAGGCGTGGAATAAGTGCTTCGTGGATTAGAAGAAGACGCGGTTAATTCAAGGCCTGGTAAAACTAGGTATTGCGTGAGTGTCGTCTGATCAACGGGAGTATGTGCAGGATTCCAGGAACCACAGAGATGCTTGTAAGAGATAGAAAGGAGGCAACGTAGGTACTAGGTAGATAGGAGTTGGAGGTATGAAGGAGGCTTAAACTGGGTCGGATCCTGCCGAAAAAAACCTGGAACAGATCGACTGAACCAAGTGACCTCAGGAACCAAAAAGGGAACCAAAGAAGAAGCCGCAACTGATGCAACTCTAATGATGATAGCGGTGGATGATTGATGAGTAAGAAAGCGATTAGTCAGGGCCAGTGATAGAAAGCGGTTAATACATGAGCTTCTTTGAAGCTAGAAGCGTGGGAACTTCAGCCACAATGAACATCAACTTAAATATACAGTTTCAAGAGATCTCTGAAGACCGTCAAAAAGTAATACGCATTCTGGAAGTGATGGAAAGAAAACCAGGATGAAAGAAATTATCAACCTGATGATGTCTTACAACTCTTGCGACAGCCTACCTCGGCGTCGCCCTACTGGACCACCGTTATGGGGTCGACCCGCGCTGGCCTTGGATGTGACGCTCGGATGTCACGAACTGTTGCTATTTTGGGCGCTGAAGCTCTGACTAGTCTCACAATGTCTGACAAGTTGACAACTTGTGCCAAATGGTACCTTAGTTAACCAAAGACCATGTTCCAGATTGCTGCAACATCCGCATTTCCGAACGTCTTCCACTTGCGGCTATTCAGCATCAAACCGGTAATTGACACCACCCGCAGTGGATATCAATTGCAACAGGTCGCGGATCAACGTTCGTCTACATTCAGCCTACCAGTCCACTACAAGCTGCAGGGAGCGTCCTGAAGAAAGAAAAGAGTCGTCGTACTTCGTTAAGGGAATCATAGAAAGAAACAGAGAGAGAAAGGTTTTTGCTAACATCCGATCCGAAAGATCTGTTGCATTAGGCTCGCACCCTGATGAGTCAATGACAAAGTCACAGAAGCGAGTTTTTGTCGGAATAAACACATCCTCGAAGAGAGAAATTTTCCATAACCACCAACCCCCATGAACACCAAATGGTCTACATCTAACGGTATCTCCAGTAGCTCTGGGTGTTGTGGATCTTCCAGGTGTGGCGACGGCCAGCACGGGTGTTGTTGTAGCGGTGGCCCTTGTTGATACCACGGGACTTCTTGCCGGTGGCAGTGAGACCACGGCTCTCGCGGTGCTGTACAGGAAACATTAGCAAGAGCGCCGCAAAACCCCCAGAATCGCGCCGAGTCGCACGAGAATTGTAGACGAACCTTGTGGACAGCGTTGCAGATCCAGTTGATGCGGGGATCGCGGCGGATAGCCTTGTGCTGGGGGTCAACGAGGATGACCTCGAAGTACTTGTAGGTGGAGTCCTGGTTGATCCAGTAGGAGTTCAGGACACGCAAGTTGGCGCAGCGGCGGCCGACACGCTCCTCAGCGGTGGCACGCAGAGCACGCTGGTACTTGAGCTGGTTAACACCCATGTTGGTGGGCTTGCCTGTAATCCGAACCCACAATTAGTCCAATCTCCTCACATCACGAAAATCTTGAATTCGCAAAACATACCGTAGGTGGCACCCTTGGGCACAGGCCTCTTACGGCCACCACGTCTCACACGGACACGGTAGACAACATAACCCTGCTTGGCCTTGTAGCCGAGACGACGAGCCTTGTCGGGGCGAGAAGGACGGGAAGCACGGTGGATAGCGTTCAGTTGACGGAGCTATATTGATGCACTCTCAGCAAAGTTCAACGAGTGTATAGCAAGACAACACAAGTCCAAATATAACTTGTCTTGTGTGCCACATCCACATCATCCGCCGGCGGGAAAGAAAAGCAAGCTTTGTGAGCGAAATTTGCGATCTTCGAAGCCGAGCCCAGCAACACCCAAAATCAAAAAAAAATTCTCTTTTTTCGAGGGTATCCTATGGCAAAGCAAACGAGGTCTTCCCCCTCCCGGCGGGATGTCAAATGTTCGAAATTGAGGGGGGGATTCTCACCTCCCAGCAACGGACACGCAGCAGGAAGCGAATCACGTCGGACTGCTTCTTCTTTTGGATCTCTTCCACGTACTTGAGGGCACCCATCTGGAATCAATCAGCTTTGATGAATGGGAGAATTGCGAAGGGATTGAATCGGATTATTGGAATCAATTCGAGCCAAATTCTATCGCAAATTGGGGGACGCGAATACGTACCTTGTCGGCGTGGCAGGTCGTCGGTTGTCGTCGATGTCGCTCTGGAAAGATTGAAGGAAAGATGATCTCTTCTGTGAGGTGTTGTGTGTGGGACGCTAGCAAATTAGGCGAGCGCGAGCCTAACCGCATCCACCAACCAGCTTTGACGCTAGCCCTTGTTTGTGCCTAAGGTGTCAATCAAAAATCCTCCCTTTCCTTATTAGGTTTGGTCAGCCGACACTTGGTCCAGCCCTAAGGCCGCAAGGCAACAACAGCTGGGTGTACGAACGTAAGGAGGAGAGGCGAAGTTTTTCAGCTTGCAAGCATAAACAATTTTATTTCTTGTCTAAATGTAGAGTTCAATTTTATTACCAGTAGTAAGGAAATTTCAATATTCTTCGTTTCTCTGTTTCGGCAAGGGAAAGGGAAAAAGAAAAGTCTCTCAACTGTTCCAACCCTGCAAACCATCACGACTGCACCAAAGTCATTCGTAACTGTCATTGTGGCACCGAGTACAAAACAGGACAGTAGTATGGCAATGAACGTGAGATAGCACGCAAGAAGCACGTGTATGTAAGGTCGTAGAAGGAAACGAAGAAGAGAACGAAGTGCAAGTGCTGATGTACAGCTGCTTGAGTGTGGTCAGAAAAGTAACCAGAGGAAAGCCATCAATTCATGAGTTGAGGTCTATTAGGTATCAGCATAGCGACAGATCGTAAATCTTTTAGCAGATCCGTCACACAAGTTTTCTAGAGCGTTGAAAGAAAATGGCAAAAACCGACGAGGCCGAAAAGGAACGACTGGAGAAATGGGAATCACTGCATCAACAGAACATGAAGAGGGAGAAGAAAAGTACAGTGTGCATGGTCATTTCGCTGATTCAACAGCGAACATCATGTACAGGAGACAGCGATACCTTGAGCCAAGGGTACGATGGCTCTCGTTCAAGATCCAAGTGACAGGCCCTGGAACCGGGTGGTCCAGTCATTTGGTGCATTGTGAATTCGAGAGGGACCACCGCCCACGCCAGGACTATGCGCGGCATAGTCGACATAGCCAGTGTCCAGGGTGCTACCATAAGCGTTTGGTGGGTACGCAGAGAAGGGATCTGCACTGGGTGCGAGTTCACCAAGGCTGGAATCAGGCTGTCGGGCACCCTGGGGAAAAGACTGATAAGGATCTGTGTAGGTGCTGCGGAGGGGCCCGATCTTGTTGCTCATCGTGTCTCTGCCAACATCCATGCCGTCTCGAGCTGCGCCGTACACTCTGCCTTCGGCATTTCCAGCACCTCCCGGAGGTGGCAAGCCAGCATTTGGCGGGGTCACAAAGGATGCTGGATTGATTGCCGACATCCAGATCCTGGTCTTGTAGATCTTAAAAAGATCAGTCACAAGAGAGTTGAAATTGATGTATGAATCCGCAAAGTAATAGAAAGTGAGTTTCTTCCAATCCCTGTTGTCGCAGTTAGTACCATGAATTCGATGGCCCGGACGTAGTCCTTACATTTGAAATTCGGCATCAAGTATCTCCATGTTGAGTCTGTGCTCAGCAACTTTCTGCTGACAGACCCGCTTTGCTTTCGCCTCGTTGCCCTCTTTGTCGCGGAGCGTCAGGATCTCGTGGTTCTGGGCAAGTCTCTTGATGAGCTTAGGCTTGATATCTCCTGCTAAATCCTGCACACCATGCGGACCATGAGGACCCATGCCGCCGATAGTGCTTCTTCCGCTCAAGGCTGGAACACTCCCCGTCACGTTCGCGGCTCCGTTCTGGCCTTGCCGAGAGAACATCATTAGCCATTTGTAGTGTTCCTCTGCATACTGCTGTTTCAGCTCCCGAGCTCTCTGCAAGGATACATTCGCGTGCTGGATAGTGCCTAAATCTGTGCCACGATCCGCTTCAACAATAACCAAGTCACCGGGTTTCACCTGCAAACCAGTGTCTTCTTGAATGTAGAAAACGTCGGCACGGTGGCACTTGAAAGTCACGATATACAGAAGCTGATTCTGATGGCCATGTGCAAGACCAGACTGGTGGCGGCCGTAAGCGTTTGGCATCGTATAAGCCTGGTGAAGCGAAGTAGGAACTGCAGAGGGTCCTTCGGCAACACGAAGGGCTTGGTCGCGAGCAAAGTAGGATTCTGCAAATTGACGAGCTCGTAAATATTCCATTTCCATTTCATGTTCCTCGGGACGAGAAGCCATATGCAAACGGTGATACTCACGATTCTGGCTCTGGGCATTTGAAAGGGAACCATCACTGATATTCACAAGATGGTCCTCCCGATCTCCCAATCCAGCCCGGGAGGCGGCCGCTGCTTGAGAGTCGCCAGAAATAGAAGCGTGCCGGATGGGAATATCTGCGAAAGAGTGTCGCCTGCTCTGAGGAATATCGGCGAGGCTGCCAAATCCAAGGGAAGTCTGCCAATTGGCCTTACGAATACTTTCCAGCGCACGGTTCTCAAGGGGGGTGAGAGTGGAAGGCAGCTGCTTCTCGGGGTTACCCGAATGCTCGGAAAACCTCCTACGCAGACTGCTGTGAATGTTGCTATAACCGGGTATATTGCCCACTTCGTCGAGATCCTCCACAGCAAGATCTGTCTCCTCGGGGACGCTTCCACGAATCCGGTGGAGGTTGCGCAAGTTGCTACCCACTGCATATCCACTGGTTGTGGACGCGGAAGACATGGCGCGATCTCTCAGTCTGTTATCCAGTTGACCTGCAGCCTGGCGCAGAATTGCATTCTCCCGCGAGAGTTGCTCGATTGTGCGGGCCTGATTCGCCGAATAAGCGTTGAGACTACCGTCGGAACTGTTACCGCTACCGCCATCGTCATCGTCCTCACGAACACGACCGAGAGTGGCAGGGTCATGACCAAGTTCTCCAAGGAGGCTTGGCCGAGACGATCGGTGTTGCAGCGCGGAGTATTGTCCAGCATTCCTAGCCCGTCCACCTGGGTACGGCGCCGCCGACTTATTGGCCATCGTGTTCAAGTACTCTGGATCCATCTGCCCCACGGAGTAAGACTGCGAGCGATATGTCTTGGGAGTGGGGTGAAGCGGGATAGAGAACGGGATCGCCGACTCTCCAGATGTAGTGCGGGCAGTGGGACTCAACAACTCATCAGCAAAATAGTTGTTAGCAGCAGACGCGTTGGACATCGTAGGCGACGGGACAATCTCTGAGAGTCGGGGTGGCGGCTCTTTTCTGGATTCGGGATTCCAAATGCCTGTGCCCCATGTGAACGAGCTATTTCCTACGTGGTTCCAGTTCATTGGGCTGCTCAATCCAGGACTTGTCCCCGAAGGCCATCCGGTGTGGTCGGTTGCAGGACTGGTCGGGTTAGAGGCACCGGTGCCTGAGATCAAGGAACCAGTAGTCAGAGACACCTTTCGGGGCATATTGAGGGGGATCTCGTTCAGCCATGAAGTACGGCGAGTAGGTTTGGGCGCAGAGACAGGTGCAGATGTCGACGGCAGATGCGAGTGCTCTACGTCGTCATCTGAGGATGCCAAAGCTTCCGAATCGGGCGTCGAGCGACGGACTCCAGGATGGGTTTTTTCAAGCCTGGCTGACGCATTACTGGACACTGCTGGCGGGTCGGCAGGTTTCGATTCCTGCGTGGACTTCTCAGATGGTGCGGCCATATTGTCTTGTTGTCTTATAAGTCCAACCTATCTCAACGCGAAGATTGTGAGAAATGCGTTGAACCACTGGCAATAGCGCAGTCGTGAATGAGACGCTAGGGACTAAAACAAGCAGATCAGTATGAGTCTACAGAAAGCTAACAAGTAGACGAGATGAGAAGGAGCCCAACGTCGGTGATCCAGAATGGAGCCTGACTAAACACTTCGGGCCGGACAGCAACACCAGATATAATGAAGGAAGTTCACATAGACGGGTTGAGTAGAATACACCACCGAGGCTGTGTGATGTATGAAGATGGAATGAGGTCTTTCAGATGGAGGGTAAGGGATTCAACTTACTGATATCTAATAAAGATGATGCTTGAATGAAGAGAGAGGGGAGTGATTTTGAACTTATCAACACCACTCTGTGTGCAACGCCGAGAAGTAACGCTGCACAAGGTATTCACTAGAAGAAGATATGAACCAGACCAACTCTCGTATGGTCAACCAAGAGAATGAATCAAATAAGAGGGTAAGCCCTATTAACTTTGCAAATGTGCTGAAGGAGCGTTGACCCTAACAAGGAGCTTCGGTGACCTTAGCAGAATATGAGCTTGTTGCATGATAAGTTAGTTCAAGGTTGCACCAGCGAAATTGAAGTGTCAATGAAAATGAGATGGAGCAGACGCATAGCATGAAGATAATGTTTAAGTCAGATACGCAAAGAATGGCAGGGTAAATAGCAGGCAGATGCACGGGATAATGTCTATACTGAGCGATATCAAGGGAAGTAGCTTGAGGTGGCGATATTGAAAGCTATGGAAGGTTCAACGCCAAAGGACCTCAAAGCCTGGGGCCGCAAATAATATAAGGTATGGACCATTCAGCCCAGATCAAGCAACGGCCAATGAGATCTGACTTCAAGGGTCTGTGGCAATTTCTGGCACCTGTCGCCCAAGGAACAGTACGATGGTAGCTTTCGACCCACTGACTGCAATTTCAAGGATATGAAGTAGAAAAAGGAAAAGGAGGTCTCGGCTTGTTTATATGTCCGTATGCCTCATTGCGGTCAATGTGGTCGACTCTTTGATTGCGACACACTGAAGTCGGGATGTAGTAAATCGCGGGTTGGAGCACCGCCAGGCGAAGATGTAGACAACCCAGAAGAAGCCACGATTGAGAGAACCATGCCGCATGAAAATGGTTGACATTTTTGCGGGGTGTAAAATGGGGTAAAGCATGACACAAAGAACTCAACACATACCGTAGAAAGTAACAATGTACAATTCTTCCTTTTAACGCAAAATCCTTTATGGACGCGGGTATCACTGGCACTTCTCAACGAATACAAAAGGCAGAATAATTTCGTGAACAAGTCTCTGCGAGCGTCCCTGAGGTATGAGCAAGCTTCCGACGTATCAAGATGTCGGAGACTTACCAGTCTAGAGTAAAAACGATCCCTTTATTTTCTATCCAAACCCAAACGAAGCCAATCCCCCGATGATGAAAGATGTTGTTTTCCGT